AAAAAAAAAAACCAAAAGATATCTCCACTTAAAGTCAAGAAAAAATAAAATAACATTTATAATTAAGTCAAGTTTACGTTTTATGACATTGGCATCCCTAAATACCATATTACAATGTTAGGCACGCCTCAAACTCTCATTAGATGTACAAAATACACAAATTCGTCCAAAATCGAGGAAGAACTTTGCACCAAAAAGGAAAGGTCAATTGTGCATTTTCCTTTTAAGATTTTTGCCCCTTTTCATGAAAATCCTCTCTTGAAGCCCAGGTTCTATGATTAGGTAAGGTCCACACCTATTTTCCCTAATTTCTCTATAAATAGAAACCCAACCCGAGCCAAGGAGGGCGAATTGAGAAGCATCTGTAGCCTATGTAGAGATACCATTCTGCCAAAAAGCCTTAAGCACTTGAACCCCAAACTTCAAATTCGCCTCACATGTTCTCATATTGGAGATTAGAAATCGGAAGCACTCCCTAGCTCAATTATTCATGCAATTATCTTCTTAAATTTTTGATAAAAATCCTCTTAGTTCATTCTAGTTGTTGGAGAACTTTTGTCAAGGTTACACATACAAGAGGTAAACCTCTTACTCTCTCCCCTTTAAGTTAGATTCATAATTTTTTGTTTTTTAAACTCAATTTTGGGTTGTTAGAAGTAATAAAACGTTGGAAAACTTACATTCTCAGCCTCTTTCAAGCTAAGACGAAAAGGTAAAGATGCAAAGGTCTTAAGAAAATCAGTACCTAAGATCCGATAACATTACCTCAAATTAGTCTCTAAGAAATTGGATGTGTTCTTCACCAAATTTCAGGAATCTTTGATAATCGTATAACTATTTTTTTTTTGCTATAAACTGAGCCCAAAAGATTCCCATATTAGGCTACAACAACAACATTGAGAGAGGGGTGCTTAACACCTTCTCTCTCGCAATCCTTTGGAATCCAAAATCTCTTAGTTTAGTGCATTTTCTGGTGGGGAATGGAGTCACTATGTAGAAGATAAATCAAAGAGCTAAAAATGAGGGCCCATTTTCCTTTGAAAAATAGGTGGCAACTCCTTTATTTAAGCTGGCCACAAGCTTCCTGGAGCTCACATTAACAATAGAATATATATATATATATATACAAAGGCTCTAAAACTTAGGTTTCTTTTGATATTAGATATAGAAAATATGATTTTGTGCGGGTTCTATCTCCATCTAAAATTAGCTCGACTTAAAATCTACTATATATATACATTCGAGTTTATATATGAAAAATTGTCCCATCCCTATGGGGCTACACCCACCTTGCCTCAATTAGAGTGGGTTTTTTACCACTGATTTTGGGCTATGACAACCCCTAAACTTTGTGAAAGGCCATTTTTCACCCCAAGCATCGGAGAAATAGCCTACTATAGGAAAAAATTGATGAGCATTTGAAAAAGCCCACTTTTGACCCTAGGTTTTGCATGCTTCATCTTTGACCCCGAACTCAACAACCCCACACCATACCCCATCATGGATAGAAATCCCAACCCAACCCCATCCCCATAGGAATCAGGGATCACTGAATTTGCCACACCCACCCCAGTTATTAGGGGTGAGCATTTTGTTTATTCAGTTAAAAACCGAACCGAATAAACCGAAATAAAAAAGATGAAGACAGAATTACAAGAAAACARAAATGACCAAAATTCAATGCAATGGTCATTGCGTGGATCTTCAACTCCTTAGCAAAGGAAGTCTACAACAGTATAGCATTCGTTGACACAATAGCAAAATTCTGGAAAGAGCTCTAGGATCGTTTTTCACAAGGAAACGTCCCTCGGATATATGAATTGAAGCAAGACCTGGCACTACTGCGTTAAGATGACCTCACGATCAGTGTATATGTTACAAAACTTAAGACACTTTGGGACGAACTAAACTCTCTCATGGTGTACCCTGAATGCACTTGTGGAGTTGCCAAGATTTTCTCGATGGAGTGTGACAGAGATAGACTCCATCAATTTTGATGGGTCTCAATGAATCGTTTAATACGGTTCAATCAAACATCCTTGGACTTGAGCCTTTGCCTACCTTAAACAAGGCATATGCCCTCATAATACAAGAGGAACGTCACCAACAAATGATGGTTCCCCGTTCTTTGCAACCTGAAGTTGCAGCACTCACGACAAGGATAAAGGTACTGGGATGTCATGAGTAGAACTCCGGTGTGACCATTGCAAAAAGAACGACCACACCAAGGATCGATGTTATGCTCGCCGTGGATATCCTCCATATTGGAATCGGCGCCAAAATGACAATACACCAACTGATGACTGGTAAAATCACCCGAACTGTTGCTCTTACTGTTACAGATAATACAAACCAATCTAATACATCAATGAATCAGAACTCACCGATGGTTGGCTTAACCTTGAATCAATACACCCAATTGATATCTCTCGTGAATAGAGAATCAACTGACTTTGTAGCCTCAGCCTTAGCTGTAAGAATATTGCTTCTGCCATTGAATGGATTATTGATARTGGTGCTTCAGACCACATGGTGTCAAATGATGCCTGATTTGATACCTCTGTTACTGTCACACCCACAAGCATCCATCTTCTAGATGGATCATTGACCCGCACAAATTTGCGTGGATCCATCACCATTGGGTCACATATCCTTCAAGATGTTATGGACGTTCACAGTTTTCATTGCAATCATTTGTTTGTAAGCAAGATTACACAACAACTAAATTGCATCGTCATTTTCTTCCCACATTATTGCATTCTTCATGACCCACTCTCCAAGACTGTGGTTGGGACGGGTGAGTTCCGCAATGGGTTACCATTTCAGATTTCACCACTCCACCACCATTGGTCATTTGATTAGTGTTCATCAGTCCACCACTGCCAGTTCTTCAATTTGGCATATGCATTTGGGGCATGCCTCTCAATCTTGTTTCGCTCTCATTCATGGGATCTCCATTTCTGATTTAAAGCCATGTTGTGATAGATGCCATCGGGCCAAACAAGCTCGTTTGCCATTTCCAATGAGCAGCACTCGCAGTAAAGAACCTTTTTCTTTGGTACATTGTGATATATGGGGAGGCTACAAAACCCCCTCTCATTGTGGTGCTAGATATTTTCTTACGTTGGTAGATGATAACACAGGATATACTTAGGTATACCTATTAAAGCATAAGTCAGAGGCTGGTTAGTACTTGATTTCTTTTTGTGCAATGGTTACTAGACAGTTTAATGTTTCTGTTAAACAAATTCGTAGTGATAATGGCTCTAAATTCTTGTTTGGGTCGGTTCAACATTATCTTGCTTCACAAGGGATACTACATCAAACCTCATGTGTGGACACACCCCAACAAAATGGGGTGGCAGAAAGAAAACACCGTCATCTATTGGAGGTGGCAYGAGCGTTATGTTTAAAGCCTCCCTTCCCATTGCCTTCTGGGGAGAATGTCTATTTACTACAACCTATATCATAAACCTACTACCCACCCTATTACTATCTAATGTCTCTCCATAAGAAGCCTTGTTTCACAAGTCACCATCCTACCATCACCTACGGGTTTTTGGCTACGTATGTTATGCCCAATTATGACCACATCCACGTAACAAATTTGCCGCTCAAGCCCATCCTTGTGTCTTTGTGGGCTACCCACATGGTCAATGTGGCAACAGAGTTTACAACCTAGAAACTCATAAAATCTTCACCACAAGGGATGTCATTTTCTATGAGAATCATTTCCTATTCAAGAATGGGCCATTACTTACCCAACCCAACACATCTGTCATTCCTCTACCACCCCTAGGCGATTTTGATTACCCTAGCCCACCTACCACCATTGACACTACCCAACACCAAACCCAAACACGCCAACCTCCTATGTCTGAACCCCTCAAGCAATCAATCCTACACCACCACCACCACTTCAGCATAGCCACATTGACACATTTGAACCCAATACCCATCACCCACTGGACTCTCCATCATCACCCATCACCCGCCTACACCGCAACACCACCGTCCCCGTTCATCTCCTTGACTACATTTATAAACTTCCTCCTTCACTAGCCCAATCCCATCTAGCTTCCCTTYAAGATGAACCCAAGACCTACACCCAAGCAGCCAAAAACCTACAATGGTGTCAAGCAATGGCCGATGAAGTTGCAGCCCTAGAGCGAAACAACACTTGGTCCATTGTACCACTACCTCTTGGCAAGAAACCCATTGGGTCAAAGTGGGTCTACCGCATCAAATACAAGGCTGATGGTACTATAGAGCGCTTCAAAGTGTGGCTTGTTGCAAAAGGTTACACTCAAATTGAAGGCCTTGATTATCATGACACTTTTGCTCTAGTGGCTAAAATCRCCACTGTTCGATGTTTACTCATAGTTGCATCCATCGAAGGTTAGGATCTCCATCAGCTAGATGTGAACAATGCTTTTCTTCATGGAGACCTCCATGAAGAAGTCTACATGACCATTCCGCAAGGCTTTGGGCATACTTTTCCCAACCATATTTGTAAATTGAACAAGTCTCTTTACGACCTCAAGCAAGCCTCCCGAATGTGGTTTGAGAAATTCACATTGTCACTGTCATTCTTGGATTACAAGCAATCACTATCTGATCATCCTCTCTTCACACTTAAGTCCGAATGCTCCTTTGTTGTTGTTTTGGTATTTGTTGATGATGTCATCATTATAGGAAATGACACCACTTGCATTCTCACTCTTAAGAAACACTTAGATAGTCTGTTTGGGATCATAGATTTGGGCCCACTTAAATTTTTTCTTGGACTAGAGGTATCTAGATCAAGTGCTGGCATCTTTCTCACTCAACAAAAGTATGCTCTTGACATCGTCCGAGACACAAGTATGATGGATTGCAAGTCATATTCTACACCCATGGAACCCCAAAGACATTTCATCGACACCTCTAGTCCAACATACTCGGATCCAGTCTAGTATCACCGTTTGATAGGCCGACTTATCTACTTAACAACAACAAGGCCGAACATTTGTTTTGCTGTCAACTATTTAAGTCAATTCATGCAAGACCCCAAACAAGAACATTTTGATGCAGCTTTGTGAGTGGTAAGCTACATCAAAGGCACTGTTACCTATGACATTTTCTTCTTAGCCTCCAGTCCTCTCCAACTCCATGGATTTTGTGATTTGACTGGGCCAACTGCCCCCTGACTTGTTGCTCCACCACAGACTATTTGACTTGGAAATTCTCCTCTATCATGGAAATCCAAGATGCAACACACTATCTCTCACTCTTCTGCTGAAGCTGAGTATGCAGAGTATAGAGCMATGGCCATTACTTCTTCTGAGTTAGTGTGGTTAAAGAGGATTCTTTAGACTAAAGTACAAGTCAATCTCTCCATACCTCCTACGGTGTTAGAATACTAAGGTCGGTTATAACCAACTGTGGTCATGTGGGCAATTTGTTTGTTAAAATCGGTGACTCATCACCACTCTCTCTCTCTCTCTCTATATATATATACATGTAAACTATCAGATAAATGAGAAATTTTTGTTCGATTTTCTGTCTCGATACCATTATTACAGTAACAACTGTTCATCTCGATTTCTTTTGATTAATGAAAAAAATGAATGAGAATGAAAATTTTAACCAAACAGGTTAAAATTTATTCTCATTCTTGCTGCAAAAAAAAAAATCATTTTTTAGGATTCTCTGCAAATAAAATTGAGGTGTCTTATCATTTCCCCTCAATGGTTCGTGTCTTTGAGGATTCAYTGGTTCTTTGGCTCTTGATTGTTTGCTGTCGTTGACGGTGTAGGTGGAAGGTTTTGGAAGAGGGCGCAGGTGGAAGGGTTTTGGTAGAGGGAGAAGTTTTGCGATGCTTTTTATTTTTGTTATGTTTTTTAACAAAAAAAGTTTTTAAAAGGATTATTATTGAACTGGTTGCAAGTTTCTTCCAAGTCAGCATCAGGTGACGTGTTTAAAGAAAATCCTTTCGAATGAACTGAAAAACCAAGAAGATTCTTATTGCCCCCCTTTTTATAATGCTTGATGAGAAATGGGTTTCAAAAGTTACAAGTTTCGGAATTTGTCTACCTCCGTACCTCGCGCATCTATATCAGTTTTGCTCAATCAACTCATTAACAAGTCTAACACCAAAGAAGAAATGAAGAAATGAGGAGCAACGGTGAAAGTTCAATTAGAATGGAGATTGTTGAGTCTCACTCCCAGAGGGATGATGATGTTTGCAATTCTATTCCTCGTGGTGGCCCCATCTACGTTCCTAATCTGGTTAGTCCTATCACCAGAATTGCCGAATTTGAAGCCTCAATAATTGAAGAGCTACGGGTAAATTACATACCAATACTTTACCTCACCTTTTTTTTGTCTTTCTGTTTGGTTTCGTTTTGTATTAAGTGCATTTAGATTTTAGATGCTCATATTGTGTTTATGGGCGAGCACTCGATATCAAAATATTCCAACTGCTGCTTTTCAAATTATAATTGTCAGTTTTTCAAACGTGTTTCTCGTTACTACTGGTTGATGCAGATGTTGGAGGCAGAGTTGTTTATTGATTCATCTCAAACATTTGATGAGGATGATCTCTCGTAAGTAAATTCTGGAGATTCCTTTGGACGCACACACACACAAACATGCTTGAGTTATCAAGGCATTTTAATTATGTTACTCTCCTTTTTTAATTATTATATGGCATTGCATTTCTAGAATGAAGGATGAAAGCAAAAGAAAATAATTGGTTTCTTTGATTAATGACAAGGATTTGATGATAATAAGGGTGAATTTTGTATTTAATTCAAAAAACAAGAGATTTTTTTTTTCATTGTCAAAACTCAAAAATAAGAAGTGGAGGGTGGGGGACTGACCAAATAAGAGGAATTCCTCTTGGATTTGGAAATGTGTTCATAAAGGGGTATCACTACTTAAAGAAGGCATGTGTTGGCAGATTGGGGATGGCTGTTTGGTGAGAATTTGGGGATGCACCCTAGGTTCCCACTCTATCTACTTTAGAGTTCCAAATGGGAATGCGGAAGTGCTGGAGAATATATTTGTTGTTGAAGACTTACTTCTGCAGAATGGGGGATAGAATGACAGATTATTATCAGTTCTATTTGATGATAGGGTGTGCTTGGAGATTTGGAAAATCCTAGTTTCCTTAGAGATCAATAGAAGAGATGAGTGGTTTTGGATACCGGATTGGTTGGAAATGCTCAGTTAAAAGTGCCTACAAACTGCTATTGGGGAAGCAGAGAAAAATATATGGAGCTGACATGCATTGGAAGAAAATTTGGAAATATCATACATGCCCAAGAATTTAGTTATTCATTTGGAAATTACCATCTGGAAGTTTTCCAGTGTTAGATACTTTATGGTGGTCCAGAGGGTCTTCCAAGTGCTCTTTTGGATGTGATTATGCAGAAACAGAGGCCCACCTGTTTTGGCAACATCCATTTGCACGGGTTGTCTGGTTGGGATCTATAGGAGGTTGGACAGGTGATTGATGGGATATAGGGGATGGAAGTGCATGTCTGTGGAAAATAATCCTCAGTTACTGAAAGGATAACGCCACTGATCAGAAAAGTTTTATTGGTGTTACTACAATCTTATGGTGTATTTGGATGGCTAGGAACCAAGTGATTTTTGATGGCTGGAATCCATATCCCCAACAAGTAGTTGTGAAGGGTCATATAATCCTAGAATTACGGCATTTATATATCATAGACAAGGAGCATGAAGTACACCGAGAGTAAGAGGAGCCATGGATGAGGAATACATTCCTTTTTCCTTGGCTATTTCAGTGAATGTGGACGTGTGGTTATCTTTGATGGAGCCATAACGGGTAATGGTGGGTCTTCAGCTTGTGTTGCTGTATCGGCACAAGGTTCCTTCTTGATGGCAATGTGTCTTGTTACTCTGATTCCCAATCTGGAGATTTTTTTTTTGGTCAGCAAGAAATTTTTTAATTAATAACAGAGAAAATCAGTTACAATAGTTAAAGGTTGCAGAGTAGCATTAATCTAATCTGCAACCACTTGCAATCAGCTACAATTCTGCCCAGTACAATGAAGATCTATTTGCCCCTTGTTTTGCTAGGGTATCCGCCATCCCATTTGCATTCCGTTTGACCCAACCAAACTGAGAGTTGATCCTCCTTGCAAGAATGCAATTGAACTGTTACAGAATCCAGATCATGAGTCTCCTACGCGGTATGTCCCCAGATTTCAGAGGCTCGGCTCCTTGCAAGTCGAATCCCCTATTGTCTATTCAAGTTTACGGGTTGAATCTGGAAATGTTACTGCTTACTTGGAATGATTAAGGGTCTGAGTGTTGGAAGAAGAAAGAATTTAGAATTCAGTCTGGTGTGAAAATTCAGTCCAAATAAGATGTAACATATTGAGAATAATTACAAAGAGGCCCTTGAATAGGCGCCCTAATACAAAAAACATAAAAGGACAAAAATGCCCTTATACTCTTAACACTCCCCTTAAGCTGAGCATAGATATTTGTCATGCCTAGCTTGTTCAAATTTTTGTCAAGTTTTGATTTGGGAACACCTTTAGTAAGACAATCAACCAACTAATCTTTAGACCTCACAAAAGGTAAACAAATCTTTCCATTGGCAACTCTTTCTCTAATGAAGCGTTGGTCAACCTCTATATGCTTTGTACGATCATGTTGAACAGGATTGTGGGCTATGTTTATGGTAGCTTGGTTGTCACACTATAATATCATTGGTGTATCAATCTTTACTCCCATTTCTGTCAACAAGTTCTTCAAGCACAACAATTTGGAAATCCCATAAGCCATAGCTCTGTACTCTCCCTTTGCACTAGATGAAGCCATGACTGATTTTTTATTCTCCAATATACAACATTACCACCCACCAAGGTACAATAGCTAGAAGTAGGCCACCTATCATCAATGGAACGTGCCCAGTCACCATCAGAATAGGCCTCTACCTTCAAATGCCCATGATCAAAATACAATATTCCTTTTCCTGGACACCCCTTCAAATAGGCAAGTATTCTATTCACTACTTGCATATGAGATGATCTATGCTTATGCATATATTGGCTGACCACACTCACAACATATGATATATCAGACCTAGTCAGACACAAGTAGAGAAGGCGATCGACAAGTCTTTGATAGACACCTTTGTTAGGAAGGACATTTCCATCATCAACTCACAACTGTATGATTGGGATCAATCGGAGTTTCAATTGGTTTACAATCCAATTTTCCTACCTTCTGAAGCAGATCAAGGACATATTTCCTTTGAGAAATATGAATGCCCCTCTTTGACCTTGCGATCCCAATCCCTAGGAAATACTGGAATTTGGAGATTTGCAAGGTGCTTAATTCAAATTCATTAGCAAGAAAAGACTTCGGTTCAACAATTCCAGACATTAGGAATGGCAACAGGGTGGGGTGGGGACGGGGAGCCTTTCCCCATCCCTGTCCCCGCGAAAATCTGCATCCCCGTCCCCATCCTCGCTAACGGGGACAATCTTATCCCCATCCCCATCCCCACGGGGATCCCCACTCCCCGTGATTTTTTATAATGTCAACCATTTTGTTTTTGTTTTATATTTTATTTACAAAATAAAAATAAAATAATTAAAAATTACAATCATATTAGAAAAGATTCAAACATATTCAACCATATTTTTAAAAACATTAATATATGGATGCATGTATATATATACATATATAAATGTATGCATACATATATACATATATTAGCGGGGATCCCACGGAGTGGGGATTGGGGAGTGCTCTCCCCGTCCTTGCCCCATCYCCTCCAACGGGGATGAAAATTTCCCCATCCCCGTCCCTGCGGGGGGGAATATCATCCCCATCCCTACCCATTCGGGGTAGATCCCCACGGGGATCGAGGAAATGGGGAAATTGCCATCCCTACCAGACATCCCCTTGTGATAACAATATCATCGACATATACTATCAACATAGTCACTTTTCCATTTACTCTCCTAATAAACAAGGTATGGTCAGCTTGAGATTATGAGAAGCCAATTTTCAAGACAATTTTTCTGAATCTGTTAAGCCAAGCTCTAGGGGCTTGTTTAAGGCCATAAAGGGTTTTCTTCAAGTGGCAAATCTTTCCTTCACTCCCAGGGATGTTCACTCCTAGAGGAAGTTCCATGTAAACTTCTTCCTAGAGGTTTCCTTTGAGAAAAGGCATTCTTAACATCCACTTGATACAAGGGCCAAGAACAGTGGACAGAGAGGGACATGATAACTCGGATTGAGTTCATCTTGGCTACTGGGGCAAAGGTTTCTTGGTAATCAATGCCATAAGACTAAGTGTACCCTTTTGCCATAAGTTGAGATTTATACCTTTCAATTGAGCCTTCAACTTTATTCTTCACTGTGTAAACCCACTTACATCCAACAAGAACTTTGCCTTCTGGGATAGAAACACTTTCCCATGTTTGGTTTTAAGTGCCTCCATTTCCTACTTCATAGCAACCTTCCAATGAGGGAATTGCATTGTCTCAGTAACTGCAAGGGATAAATCAAAAGCAATAGAAGAGATATAGGCACAATAAGAGGGTGATATGGTTTCATAAGAGGCATAATTTGAGATATGATATTTAGCACATACCCTTTTTGCTTTACAAACTGCAATAGGGAGGTCAAGGTCAGAACCCACACTAGGAAGCTCAGTAATAGATTCAACACAACGATTAGAAACAAGAGGTTTAGAATCCAAATTACCTGAGTTCGGGAAGTCAGATTGTGATAGACATTCAACCTCTGGAGTCATCCTCTTTTTCCATCTGACGAATCACTGGTGCTAATACTAAGGAATAGGAGGAGTCACAGGAGGAAAATTACTACCACCATAGGGAGGAGGAGAAGAAGATGAAGGATTGACAATATTTGTTGTAGCTGGAACAGGAATTGGCATACAAAAAGGAGTCCGATCTTCATTGACATTCTCCCCCTGAAGAGAAGGACAAGAGGAGGAGAAGAAGGGAGTAGACTTAAAGAATGTGACATCTTTGGACACTTATCTTTTTCTAGAACAAGGGTCATAACAATGGTACCCCTTTTGGACTAAGAATATGCCAAGAAGATACACTTGATAGACTTTGGATCAAATTTCAACATGGAAGGACTCATGTCATGGACAAAGTAAACACACCCAAAAGCTTTAAGAGGAAGATGGAAGGCATCTTCATCAGGAAAAAGAACCTGATGAGGAGACTAGAGATGAAGGAGGGTAGTCTGTTAATAAGATATRCAACTGTTTCGATAGCATCCCCCCCCAAACCAAGTTGGGACATGCATATGGAATAACAATCCTCTGGCAACTTCAACCACATGCCTGTTTTTTCTTTCTAATACCCCATTTTGTTGGGGAGTATGAGGACAGGAGCTTTGATGAATTACTCCTTTCTCTTCAAGGAAAGTTTGTAAGTGCTTTTCAAAGTATTCATTGGCATTGTCAGATTTGGTAATCTTAATATACTTCTTAAATTGTGTCTCCACCATACTGAAGAAACCTTTTACAATTAAAGGAAACTCATCTTGGCTCTTCATCAAATACAACCAAGTATAT